AATAATATGGAACAATTGTTCTTTAGAACAAACACTGTTTCTGTATAAAAATGCTATTTTCAGCATTTCTGAACATTATGTTTATGTGCTAAAAAGTTCATTCTTGCATAGTCTTGCTACTCCATCTTTGAACACTACCGTTTCTACTGCATTAAAAAATACAACCTTAAAATTATATCTCCTTTTAACTGAAAAATGCCATAATTTGGAGGCATTTTATTCATTTAATTCCTGTGTCAGTGCTAACATGCTAACTCACCATGGGTTAAAATGACTCCAGGTCAGTTGCACACAACAGCCTGTGGGAGAAGAAATATCTATACTCTTGAAGAGATGATGAGAGTTTTCCACAGAGAGCAGTAATAAATATCAATGCTGCCCTTTGAGTGTAGTTTGGACACACTGAACTAGTGATTACTGAAGAAACCCAGGACTGTATCATCCGCTAATGGGGGGAAAAACTGACACGGTGTTCATTAGTGAAGTCCAAAAATCAAAGGTACACAGGCTCCCATTAAACACTGAGCAATCAAGTATCCAGGTCAGAGACATCCACAGGAGGCCTGGCTCAGTTCTGAGGGCGGCAACGTTAAGCCTGGCAGTCCGACTCTTGGCTTTGTCTACCAATTTAAATAAAAATGAAATTACTGTGTACTGTATGGTGATTTTCCTTTTTGCTGCTGCCTTGAACATGAACTCTGAACCATATTAAATTTTCTTCCTTTAGAAAAATGTGCTAACAGCATAATAATAATAATAAAGGTATTAATAATACAAAACAGTGTGAGTCATTTATTTTGCAGAATAATAATGTTGTTACAAAACACGAAGGAGCAGTTGTGAAAGTGTTCTTTTAAACATCAATGACTCATTTGTGATTCAGTCAGTTTGCCATGGTCACACCAGGCATGGACGGAGGGGCTGCCAGCTGATATGGACAGACACACAAAAACAAGCACAGGCAGGTGGTGGACTCAAAGAGGAGGAGGAGGAGGAGGAGAGAGAGAGAGAGAGAGAGAGAGAGAGAGAGAGAGAGATGCTTGAAAGGAGACCCAAGGGCCAGCAGTGATGCAAGAGGGATGGAGAGGGTCCTGATCAAAGAGGAAAACGAGCTCAAAGAGCCGGCATCAGTGGAGTTTAGTCCCACAGACGTGTCGTGTGGTTTGAACTCCGTTCTGCGTTGCCTAAAATTCGTGCAAAACACAAGCTCAAAGAAGGACTGACATTGAGCAGTGTTTTGTCATTTTAACGCTGGAGGACAAGAAGTTCCTGTCGGTGCAGAGAGATCAATTTTCCATATTTATGTTAAAAAATGTACACATGCACATCAAACATTACATTCTTGGACTAATGAAGCTGCAGCTTCATTTGGGAACTGGGATTCTAAAAGGTGTCGAGTGCTGAAGATGTTCCCGAGGGTCTCTGTAAGTCCTCCACTCTTAAAATTTCACTGAAATAAGGCCTCAGTGCATATAAGCAACATAAAAAAATAAAAATGAATGTACATTAAAAGGTGCCGCTGGAACTAAGAAAAACAATATGTAGCAAAAAAATAAATGCTTCCTTTAGTTTCAAATGAGCAGAAAAGTAATTAATGCAGGATTATCAAAGTCTGTGCTCGGCATATAAAAGGAACTTCCACCTCGAGGATGATTTGTTATTTCCCTTAATCTTTTGGGCAAGGACTGAGGAAGCCGCATTCAAAAAGACACTGTGATCTGCTTTCAGTCATGATTAAAAAAAAAAATCCTATTAATGAACAAACAAAGTTAAAACCAAAAGTGAGTGGGATTTCCATTTAAATTGTTTTGCATTTCAATGCTCTTAAAGTCCAAGGATTAACCGTCCTCTGGAAAAGACACAACGCTTTTAGGTTGGTGTGTGTTTTCTTTGTCTCTCAACTTCAGAGAGATTACAGTTGTGTGGTGATAACGTACAGGCGGCCGTGCTGTCTGTGCAGCGGCAGTGGAGGTACATTTGACTGATGTTTTTACCTACTGATCTTACCTTGTGAAAAAGGCTTAAGGAAATAAAAGCACCACAGAGAACATTTCTTTTTTGTATCCAAGGCTAAAGTCACTTCTATGCTTTCAAGTTACCATGTAGTCAGTGGAATGTTCCAGCACACAGTCCCCGATGAGCTGGCATCTGAATACTCCTGAGCTGATGAGGACATCCTGTCAGGTGCACAGGGCTCGTCAGCTCAACTCAGTAAAGCATACAGGCTGATGACTAGACATGTGGTTAAATTACAACATTAATTCAAATTTTTGACACTAATAGTTCTCATTCAATATTCCTAATTGATATTGAATACAGCAATTGATATTTAACAATCTAATCCATGATTCCCTGATTCTACTTTTGGACGAAGGGGCACATATGGCCTGCAGGCCGACCAATCACATACATGTATGTTTACACGTTTACAAAACTGACATACAGTATCTGAAAAAAATATATATACAAAAGCTAATTGTAATGACCTATACCTATGGACCCACATTCCAAAAATACTGTTTTTGTTTTTCCAAAAATAAGCATTTTTGCAAAACAAAAACAGTGTTTCTGTATAAAACTGATTTGCCAGTTAACATGAGAACTGATTTCCCCAGTATGTTACAGGTATGACCTCTGCCTGTGTTACAGCACATTGACCAGATCTCAGGTTCAAAATGCATTTGCATTTTGAACCATGTTAGTCTGTAATGTAAAGTGAGAGACTAATTTGTATGTATAGCACATTTATAAAACACAGGAATTGTACCCGAGTGCTGGAGGCACAGAGGTTCCCGAAGCAGCATGAGCCACCGCACGTATACACATCATTATCTAACGTCATGTGGTTCGACTGTATAGAAAGTTATGGATTCTCCGAACTTTATTTTCACTTAGCTTTTCATTTGTATTCCCTCCCGCTCCTCCACATGGACGTCTGCTGAGACATAAGAGTAACTGCAGATTTTATAACTCACCGCACGACAGTGTAGATGAGCCATCTACCTTCTGCAGTCATTTGGGAGAGGGTCTCTAAATGTGACAGATAAACCATGGTGGGAGAGGGGAGGCAAAGGGTACAATGGGCTACCTCAAGTCTTAAAAATGTCGTGATCACAGTGTGCCTGGAAAAAGACTGCAAGCTGCAGAGCCCAGGAATATTAAATTACAGCCCTAATGTTCTGCGGCAAAGGAATTGAAGTCATCGCAACACAAACAAATTGGATTTCGCTGCTCATCTACAATGCATGACGTGGCATTGAGCTCCATGAGCACCTCAGACAGGAGGAAGAGGATTCGTCTGAATCCAGCGATGACAGCCATCAGTGGTCAAACTGGGTTTAGAACAAGAGACGGAGGGAAAGCTGCGCACGATATCTGTGATTGATAGGTTTCTGATGAGCTTCTGTGCTGCAGCTGGTCAGTGGATCGGGCTCTATATTTGTCAGTTATGATTGCAGTTGGAACTGAGGAACAAAAAAAAAGGAAATGTGGTGACAATGGTGAAAAAACACAAATACTGACAGAGTGAGAGGAAGGAGATAACAGCCAATCCTGTAGAGTGGTTCAGAAAAAGAGTGAAATGTAAGTGAGCTCCGTATTTCTGAGCATCCAGGCTATTAAACAGTCTGTCAGAGCCTCTGCACTCGCTCTCTTTTCTCTCCATTGTTGTCTAGCCCGTGGTCATCCTCAGCAAGAGACGTTACAGGTACAAGACCATTTTTGATCCTCTTACTTTCTGACTGTTTGATGGCCTTTTTCATCTTGCTTTGGAGGAAAGAGCACAGGTTCAAATGCCAGGAAGCACAATGTATCGTACATGAAAGCAGTAAGGTCCCAGGACCACAGAAAGCCTCCGTGAGGCAGTCCATTTTTTTATCCTTTATCTAAAAAGCTGATGCAGCCCAAAGCAATTTGGTCAGAATTTCACTTTTGTTACTGATGTCGGCAGTCTTTGAAGTTCATTGACTAAAATGAAAATGTATACCTTAACGTGGCAAAATGGTTTGAACTTTTGATGGTGACCTTTAAGAGTCGGAAAGACGATGTGTCTTTTAAAGAGTAACGTCAAACGACTGACAAGATGATCACTGAAATTTCAGGCCTGAGGAAATCCAAGCTTTTAACCTAAAGTTGTCAAGTCATTGTTAGTGTTCACTTTAATGCCATATAATTTGAATATGAAATACTGGTAATTCTTCAACTGTAAAGTCCACTCCCCGTTTATAGATAAGAGCAGGAATCGGCTCCAGTTTTTGTTATGTTTAGAAACCCACTGCATATAGAATTGTGTCAACTGCATAAAAACTAATGTCACATGTTACATATATACATGTTATATGTATATATATGTAAATTATTTATTTATTTTTATTAATGTACTCTGCCCCACTCTTTTTCTCTCCAAAGACAAAAACAAGGCACTTCTGTTAGTACATGAAATCCAGCACCATGGACAGCGCTGTAATTATTTGTCCATTACGTTCAGTGAGAGGCAGAATACTCTCAGACCTTTAGGGTCCACCCACAGGGAGGGGATAAAAAAGCACTACATCATGTCTGAGGAGAAAAGTAAATCCTTCACACACAACCATATCACGGTTGTCTCTACTCTCTGAGGTGACGCGCAGCAGCAGTTCCTGAAACTCTGCCACGAGGCACAACAAGCCTGGTGGTGGTCACTTCAGTTCTGAATGCACACATGAACAAAGAGCAATTGGAAATATAAAAGAGCAGTATTTATCCTAATCATTTGCATCACTGGAGGGAGCCCAAGTACCACCAGTGGTGCGTGTACCTTAGTTTGAGAACCATCATTATTGTATCTCACGTGCTGTAACTAGTTCGACACCAGTACTGTGCTGGCTAAACAAATTATGATTAAAAAAGTAAAGAAATAATTGTAAGGAAATAAATATACACTTTAAAGCCGTATCCAATTAATTTGCAAATCACTGAAAGTGACATCAACCATTTTTAACGGCACTGTCGGAGATTTCACACACTCTCCATCTACAAGAAAGTTAAGGACGACTCAAAATAATGGCTTTGTGAGAAAGCAGCTGTCAACACTTGAAAATAATGAGGAACCAACACTCCAGTCACGTCACTGCTTTTCAGTCTCCAGACTTTTGCAGGTCAATACACGTTCCCAAAATACACGGGAATATTGATGGGAAGTTCAGACATGGTGTTTCGGCAAGGGATTGTCCCTCTCCTCCTCCTCCTCTTCATCCTCTCTCCATCCTTTCTCTGGGCACACTCTCTTCACAGTACCTCCCCATCTCTGCCTCCCTTTCCCTCTCTTCCTTCTCTATAACCCGATTACCTTGAGAGACGACTAGAATCTTTCTCGCAGCCTGAAAGTTGAAACGCCCAGTCTCACACTGGGGGAGTGAGAGAGCGAGAGAAACCGAGAGAGGGTGGGGGAGAGAGAAAGAGAGAGAGAGAGAGAAAGAAATCTGGAGTGCGCGTCTGGTGCGGAGCGCAGACCTGTTCGCCACAAGTGATAGTGGATCCATCCAGATGAGAAAGTCTGAGAAATGTCGTTTTGCCTGGACCACAGATCCATGATGTGCAGGCGGGGACAGGCGAGTGTTCGCGTCTTGGACACAATATTCGGATGCTGCGGAAGTCAAAGGTAGGAGAATTATCCAGGTATTTTGAATTTACTATAGTTTTCCCCAGTTTGTTTGGATGGGCGCGTTTCTGCGCTGTTACTACACCGTATACTATATTTTTTCTAATAATCCCGGGGACTAACAGTACTCACACAGTACAAAGGGTAGTTTTACGCCTTCGCTGTGAAAATAAATAAAGAAAATGATGATAATAATATGGTGAATATGTGGCGTCGCACTGTGTCTGTTTGTGGTGAGGAGAAGCTGGAGGATGTTGTTGATAATAAACTCTGCACATCTGCGACCACTGGAGCAGAAATCCCATCCTTCTGTTCGTCGTTCGTGTGTGTGCATGTGTGTGTGTGTGTTAATTGTGACTCATTATACCACGGCATAAACTCATCAAATCACTGAGCGGACTCCGAACTGTTGTAGTGTCATATTCTACTCAGAGATCACTTAGAGATGCATTTAGAGTTTTTAATTTTTAATTTTGCTTTTTTTGACAAAGCTTTCAACACAGAAAGCAAAGAGGAAACATAACAAAGAGCAGTCAAGGAGTGGTTGCGTGTCTGCGTTCACATCATTCATCTTTTCCCTGAAGAGATGAGATGATAAAGCAAGAAAACTGAAAAAAAAAAAGAGATTAGTATTCAAAAACCTTGCAAGAACAATAAAAACCCAAATTGTATGGAAGTGTCAGGTGCAGACGGAGAATCAGGATATATATTTATACAAAGGAATTGTAGGTCAATAACTAATAATCTATTTGGTTGATTCAATTGAATTAATCCTTCCATCTACAAGACATTCTTCTGGAGCTTCTGGAAATGTGGTATGGTGAGGAATTACAACACAAGGGGGCGCAATTTAGCCCCAGCCAACAGCACCCGGTGTGGGAGTAAAAGTTGTTATTTTCAAAACTGTTTCTTGACATAGATGTAAGAGAAATCGTCCTTGAGAATCATCTCCCCCGGGTGTTGGAGGCATCAGATCAAATGCATGTTTGCTTTTTTTAAACAGGTCATTTTTGAAACATCACTTTTGGCATCTAGTGGACACATCAGAGTTCTTCATAAATAATTGTGTAACCACCCTGAAGATGTGAGTCAAGATATTGATATTAAAAGTAAACATAGGTAATGGTCGTAGGTGTGAGGTCATTAAGATCTATCTATCTATCTATCTATCTATCTATCTATCTATATCTATCTATCTATCTATCTATCTATCTATCTATCTATCCATCCATCCATCCATCCATCCTCCCGATCTGTTGTGCTTAGCTACTAAGATCATACTCACCAGCACTGAAAACAACATACCGCATTCCATGTTAGTGAAAACAAACCACTCAGTAACAGCAGTGTGCACGGCTATTGTTGAAAGCCAGTTACAGTATGTCCATGAATTATTCAAATATGTGGCTTAGATTTTTTTTTTCCAAGAGGATTTTCACACGAAGGAAAACCCTTTAATCCGTGTGACAGAGACGTAGGAGAAACACAAAGCACAGGGATGAGAGCGTGGCATCACATGGTTGCAGAGGAGCCTCGTGTTGAAGAACACTGAGGCCTCCGTGTTTTAACATCTCTTGACATGGATGTGTTGGATGAGACAGGGCATTAACGCCGGCTTCGGGAAGGATTCAAACAAAAAAGAAGAGTGACACTTTTATACTTTCCTTTCATGATGATCGTTAAATCAAGTGATGGATATCATGCAATTATTCATCTGCCTATTCCGTCAGTGGTCTTTACTGTCATATGCTGAAGGCCAGGAATGAAAACCTCTGATGTATGCTTTACTGTGTATTTAAGAAAGGGAACCCTCGTGAATGGTCATCTATAAATACTTGATGATCATGGTTATTATACGTCAGACGCTGCCTCTCAATTTATAACACTGGAAGATTAAGCTGTTATTGTAGAGAGGAAAAAAAAAACGTAAGATAAACAGTCAAACACTGCCAAAAGCAAAGACACATTGGTATTCAGCTGTATCTTAGCACACCGGCCTTGAGGCTTGGCAGATTATACCAGCTCTCCAATTCAGGGTCAGAGGTCTGAAGCTGATTGGCAATGGGCTGACACAGGAAAACACAGTGTGCTGACTGCGGTGTAATGGGGTTGGAGCAGACAGACGTATCAAGAGTGGCCAGCGTGTTAGCAATGCCGTGGCCTCTCGAACCTGGATGCTTACAGGTTGTTCGCTAATCTATTAGCCCCCTGTCAGGCACCTCTGGGCGCTCTGACAAGGAAACGCGGCAGCACACGGGCTTGTGCTCGTGCCATCACTGTCATATTGAATTGTTTTCCTTGCAAACAGCATTTGCTCTGCCTCATTCGCTTTCAGCTGCACCTCCCAGCTCTTTATGCCTCCCAGCCGGTGTGGTCGACGAACACACCACAATAAGATCACTAGCAGAATAACATCGAAGTATTCTTCTCCCTCTTTCAGAGTGCACAAACACACACTTTCTCCTATTTTTCTTTCTTGGTCATTTACCCAAAAAAGTACAACAGCAATGATTTAAAAAAAAAATGACATTGCAAACATTTGTCAGAGCAACTGGAAGTAATTACGTGAAAAACGGCTCGATGCCTGCCGCTAGCATTGATACAGAATGTAGGGGAAAAGACAGTTGTTTGAAAAATACTCATTATTATGAGAGGAGCTGCTGCAGCTTTCTCAGACTCTGTCAAAGAGAGAGTCTATTAGCAATGATCTGTTTTCAATACCTGGTGCAGTTTTCTTTTTTTTTGGAAAATTCTATTGAGGAGGAAACAACAAAGAGAAGGGAAATGTCTGACTGTGTGTTGTTGCTGTTTTCCCAAACATCCTTGAGCTGCAGAATTCAAACACGGGAGCTAAACTGAGCTCAATGTAACGTTTTATTGTACACTGTCACAGATGGTAATCACGGCCTTGCTTTAGTGCTAATGCAGTAGTGATTTATTGATGGCAAATGCTATTCATAGCCCGCTGTAAATTAAGTGGTTATTGTCTCAGGAACCCAAGGGTGTTTTATGTCTAACTTGTCTATGAAGCTGTGTTTTTTCCCCTGATAACTGAAATATAACTAATATAAAAGTTTAACAGATGTTCTTTCTTGCACTGTATATGATGAAAAAATGCAATTATAGGGATAATAAAACCTGAATACAAATCATATATATATATATATATGTGTGTGTGTGTGTGTGTGTGTGTGTGTGTGTGTGGATATTATGCTTTTATATGATTTTCCTCCCGGAGGAAAATGTCAGACGTAGAAAGGTTTTCATCATCTGAACATTAGTGCTGTAGCACTGTACAAACATTAGTACAGTCAGTCTTTAAAACTCATATAGGCTTTAGTATTGATCAATGTCTTATGACCTATCATACGGCCAGCAGTGGAATGGAATACTAATATTTGCTTTGGCTCCGGCAGAGGACAGACAAATACATCTCCTTCCTCGTATTGAACCAATTGTGCGTTCCAAACCTCTTTCACTCCTCTTTCTTTTCCACTCTGCCAGAATAAGCTGTTAGCTTCTCCCTGTACTTTATAGTATAATCATCGCTTTACATTTTTCCCCGTTCTATTTTTCTTTCACTTTGTTTTCGTATAATTTTCCCATCGCAGGGCTTCTGTTTGCTACAGTTTGTTATTTGCTTGTGTTTTTTTGCTCCATGAATAAAATACATCCCATGCTCCTGGGCTTCCTGGAGCTTACAGACTACTGTACGGACAGCAAAGTTTTCACGGCTCCTCCTTGTTGGACCTCCTGTGGCTGAAAGTGCTGACAGCGTTGTTTCACATCAGCACACTCTTTTGGTCCATGTACCACATGGCTTCAGGCGATCCACATATATGATGCTCTTGAAGTCTTCTTCTTTCATTATTTTCTATTAGTTTCTCATAAAAGAACACAAGGGGTCACTGATAATATGATCAATAAAACTGTCCTGCAGCAAATTACACTGATGTCTGTAGGAATGATTCTCTCTCTATCTCTCAAATATATATTTATATTTATATATAATATCTAAGCAACCGTTCCTCATGTCTTATAAGTGGCAGACACGCAGATGGTAAACAGAAATATGCCAATGTATTTTGAAGCCATGGGAGTGCTTATTGCACTGAGAAAAATATTGTGGGAAGTGTGTGTGTGTGTGTGTGTGTTGGCTGATGTAAAAGGAAATTAAACTTAATTATCTATTATCTCTGAAATCAGCAGGGGTGTAACTCTTGCAAAGACAAATGCAGCTAAAATTGCCAGTGCTGAGTAGGCAACAGCTAATCTTGATGTGATTTAAGTCAGTATTTGACAAAGTGTCACCAAACTCCCTTGTCAGTTGTGGTGTCAACGATTTTTTCCCCTCCACTTTAAATCCTATATAAATGTGTTGTTGCTTTATCTCCACAGGTCTCAAAGCGCTGAACTCTGAATGACATTAGAACCTGGCATTGCTGACATCAGTGAACATCACTGAGGACTCCACCACAGCTGTCACATTTGCTCCTTGTCACAAGAGTTAAACTGCCTGACAAAACCCTCCCTGGCACCTCTCAATCCTCGAGGCTATGGAGAACCTGAGCGAGCTTCAGAACCCACTACTGGACAAAAACAGTAAGCACATCGTCAACGGATATGGAGGAGACTTCCATAATAAACAGTGTCAGGAAAACATTATTAATTATTTTGCCGGAGGAGGAGGAGGAGGTGGCGGTGAGGTGGGAGGAGGCAAAGTGAATAACACTAATGTGGTGAGCAGCGGAGGCTGCAACACCAACGGTAAGGTGAAAACTCAACAACTTTTGGATGCCACTTCGTTGCATCTGGCAGTAGAAGCTTTCTACAGGCCTAATTTCATCCTTTACAAGGAGGACAGTGGCAGCATCAAGGGCAAGGATTACAAAAGTGAATGCTGCGAGACCACCTTTACAGAGAAGAAGGCGAAGGAGGCTCCTAACACTGGGGGGGTGGACACACCTGGCACAGAGGACTCACAGTCGAAGCTGCTGGACGAAGGCGAACACATCAAGATCCAAACAGTCTCTTATGAGGTGGAGGAAGAGGAGTACGTGGAGTATGAGGTAAGAACGCTATGTTAATTACAGGAGTCAGTTAGATCTCTGTTCAGTTGAGCCTCGGGCTCAGGGATGTCGTTACCATATGACCGAGCAGAATGATCCTGAATAAATGATCATTATTTCATATTTGAAATATAAAAAGACTCCTTGCACAAACATTTTACGCTTTCTGAAATCCAATTTGATCCACTGATCCTGACTTCGATTTCCATCTCAGCAAAATCATTAGTTAGATGAAAAGAATTCACCTGTGTCCGTCTGCCTCACACACAGATACTTGGTGCTGCAGTGTTTTGGCATTAGTCACTGCATTTTCCAACTCTGCTGGCGGGGCAGTGGCACAAAACAGTGCAGAGGACTGAAGGCACTGGACGGCAGAAATTAGGCTGCGCAAAACCTAAGGAAGTGACCACAGGGCTGAAAGAAAAACTATTGATGTGGTAAACTTGGACCAGCTAAAGCTGGAAGTAATAAATAAAATAATAATAAAAAAAATATATACACATATGTATACATATATATATATATATATATATATAAAAATCCTCTATACGCAAAATATATACAAATCTAAAAAGGTTATAAACCTATATGTCACCACATTTTCTCCAGTGGATTTGGATGTTAATGTAGGTGGATGCACACCAATGAGAGCGCAGATAAATGAGACATGAGGCTGCGTGCCAACCGAAGGCTTGACTCCAATACTGAAAGGTTAAGTGTGCACATTAGCATATTGTTCACAATTTCCCCCACAAATTCCCTCTTTATAAAAGAGCAGGTCGATTTAAAAGAAAAGCGTCATGAGACTCCGCAGCCTGCACTGAGACGTAAAGAGACAGAGACACAGTGGGACTCATTACGGAGCCTCCCAACTGTCGACCACCGACACCACAAAGTGTTGGATGTCATGGTCGGAGAGGAGGCAAAGACTTTATACAAAAACAGTTGTGCAGACATCTGTAGCAACTTCTATGTTTTATCTAACATAACCG